CAGTGCTAGGAAATAGGAGAAGAATCTATAATTCCCAATGAATGCTGAAAACAGGTTGGCACAGTTTTGGATGGATGGATGGATGGATGGATGGATGGATGGATGGATGGATGGATGGATGGATACCCAAAACTGGTGGCTGCTGCCAGGTACCTTTCCCAAACTGCATGAATACCTTAAAGACATCACTTGGTGTCGTGTCCTGAATCAAATGATGCTGCTAAAACATAGCTGTGGCATTCCATGGCTTTTTTCTGCTCTTGGCAGTGGGGAATTCCAGCACATTCAGCGCCTCTTTAGGTGTATCCTTTGTTTGGCTGATTCCTATAATGGTCAACCTTTTATAGGTTTGATATAAAATCAGCATAATTACAAAGATCTGTTCCCGTCCATAAAACCAGTTGGAACTGTTTGGCAGGAATTTAAACTATTTCTTGTTAATCCACACACACAGCTAATAAGGGAATGCAGGGGCTTTTTAATATCCTATTTATATCAGCAGATGTCCTAAAGAAGTTTGGGATATTTCTGTATTTAGAGTAAATCATAGCAGTGTGTAGCGTGCAGAAAGAGAGATTGGAGGGGGGGCAAAGTCAACTCTATTAATCTTGCTGAGAGCAAACATGTCACATGTAATATCCTTGAGTTGCATCACCATCTGGGATTTTTCTGAAGGCCTTGGAATTGATCCAGCAGATGGTATGGCTGCAGGAGCTGGGGCTGGAACCTGCTCCCTGAAGCGTGGGGAGATGTCTTCTGCTGCTGGCTGGGCCACAGCTGGGGGTTTGCACAACAAAAACTCATCTCTTGCAAGGGTTTCCCTCAGCTTCAAGCGAGATGTTTGCACCTGAACCCAAAGTGCTTCTGCTAGAAGGGGCTTGGAGTTGTTTAGAGTGCCTTGGAATGGTTTGGAGCCTTCCACTTGTGGTGGCTCTGTTTGGGTTGAGGTCTTTTGTCATCATGTAGAGACTTTTTTCCTGCTTGTGCCTTTCCCTCTAGGTTTACCCCTCCTGCAGGCTTGCCATTCCCTCCTTGTCTCATGTCCTCCTGTTATATTTTCCCGGCAGTTGTGAAAAATCAGCTTTTGGAGGGGTCCAGCTCTGGAGTGCTGCTCACAGCCAGGGTGTCCAGCATGCAGCAGTCCTGCTCCCATCTTTCCTGGGGGAATCCTGTTCTGTGATGAGGAATTCAGCTGGTCTGAGTTACTGCAGCAGAGTCAGGGGCTTTTCCTACCGGAGATCCAGGGAAAGGGAGTCTGTGGTAGGAGCAGATCAGGTAACTGCAATGTTTCCAGCAGCAGCTTCAGTAGCAACGGCTTTGGTGGTTAGGCAAAAATATTACCAAAAGTGACATTCCAAAGGGAATGGCAGGCTGTAGAGAGACTTTGCAGCCATGACCTCTGACACAGGAAGGCTCACTCTGAGCCAGAAAATCCCCACAAGACCTGTGCTTCTCCTGGAAGTCTTCTAATTCCCAGCTCCATGGTCTTGGGGAGCAGTTTGGATGTGCCAGCACTGATGTTGAAGCCCTACAGGCCTCTTTCTTTTCCCAGTGGTGCTTTATCCCTTTCCCAGTGCTGGTGGCCCTCAAAGCAAGCTCACTTGCCCACTTCTTGCCCTTTCCAGGAGCCTTTCTGTGGAATTCCTCTCATTTCAATTCACCTTTCTGTATCAGATGATCAGGATTGACCTCACTGTTCCCAGGATTTCCTCAACCCTTCACTAAGTGGCAGCAGGATTTTCCCCATGTTTTCCAGAGTTATTCCCATTTTAGGATTGTGTTTCTACCTTGCCTGGCTGAGCAGCAGCAGCTGAGCACGTGCAGGTGTCCTCCGGCATCCACCAGAACACTTTATTATTTCCCATATATATATATTTTATAGGACTGTATATTTTGTATGACTGAATCTCATTCCATGCTTATTATCCTTCAAAGCCATCCAGCCTGTCCTGCTCTCCCAGTCCATTTCTGTATTAACAGTTCTGGCCAACTTCCCTCCCCCTAAACAAGGGGGTGAACAGAGCTGACAACTCCTTCAAGGAGGGATCAGAGTTTAAACATATATTTAATTCCAGTTGAAAGATGGGAAAAGTAGAAGGGGATGGACTTCCCGAGGTCTGGACCTGGTTTGTCCTCAAAGGAGAACAGGCAGCATGTGGAAAGGGAGAGGTGGGGTTAGTGGGAAGAAGGACAGAAGGGATGAAGAATAACTTGGGTTGGGTGGCTGTCACATCCAGTCCTGGCAGCTGGGACCACCTGGATCTCTGGGACATTCCTGATGGATATGGAAAGAGATTCATGAGGAGCAGAAAGGTGCACTCATAAAGGTGCACACTATAAAGAAGGGAAAAGAGGTGCCAGGGAACAGCTGAGAGGTTGGGTTGCTCTCAGATCCCATCGGGACTGGAATAAATCCTCAACTGCAGCATGGCAAAGTCCCTGAAATCAGATGTGGGAGATGGTGATCAGTCAGAAGTTCTTCAAGTCAGTCGAGTTTCCTTCTCCTTGAAGGTGGCAGGTCTGTAGACTCTGGAGCAATAGAAGATAGCCTGTAATTTGGTTTTTCATACTCGTGGACAGTGAAGGAACAGAGTGGATACAGCTGTGTTCCACATCTTGGAGTGGAAAAAATCACTCAAAAAAAACCTAAGAGAGTTTTCTCTTAGGCCATCCTTGGAATCAAGGCCTGCATGAAGCTACAGTAAATAAATGGTTTGCATAACCTGTAGGTATTTAACCATTAATTGAGAGGTAGCCAGTGGGTCAGATATATCTTGGAATCCCAGACTGGTTTGAGTGGGAAGGACCTTAACTGACCTCATTGCCCTGCCATGGGCAGGGACACCTTCCCCTGTCCCAGGTAGCTCCAAGCCCCATCCAACCTGGCCTTGGACACTTACAGGGGATGGAGTATCCATTATATTATATTGATATTATTTGTGTGTTCAACCACTGCATTTAACAAGCTTAAATATTTTGAAAAGTATTTTAAAATATTTTAACAAGTTTAATGTTTAAATATTGGGTTGTGACCTCTGAAAACCCTGGCAGAAAGGATTTTTTAATTGCCATTTTTCTCCTCTGCACATCAATGTTGGGACGTCCATCAAGCCAAGTTTTCTGGCCTTGTGCCTCAATGCCTCACTACCTGAGAGGAATATTCATCTGAAATTTTGATGGCACTTAGCTTAGACTCAGTAATTTATTACCATTTTAGCCTAAATGGAGCAGTAGCTCACGAACTTCCCATTTTGAGCAGAACCAAGGGAAATTTTGCTGTATCAGAATCTTCAGCTCTGCACTCCAATTAAACAATCCCCCCCTGCTCTCGGGAGGCGAACAGATGCAAACCCCAGAGAGACTCAGAAGCTCCCAAGCTTAATAATCTTGGGTTTTTTTCCCCCACCTCGTGTCAGGAATACTTTTGTGTCTGTCGAAAGCTCCACTTGCAGATCCATAACATCTCTCTCTGTCGTGCCTGGAACAGATGCGTGTGTTGTAATATAGACTGCGAACATTGACATCCCATGTGGTTCTCATTCCTCCCAGTCATCTTTGAAGCTAATTGGATCCAGCCAGCCCAAATGTGTCTGGCTGGCCACAGCTATTTGTACTTTCACTCTGGTTCTGGTGCTAATGGTGGGATCTATGGAACATGAAATAAACTCTCGTGACTCCGAGGGCTGCCGAGGCACAGCCGCTCGCGTCTCGCTGGGTTGGGATGGGCTGGGATCTTTAAATGGGATTTTTTTTTCCTCTTCTAATGTTGTTCAGTGGCTGATGGCTACAATGAGGACTGGTGGGGCTCAGAAGTGCAGAATCAGGAGCCTGGTTGTCCAGCCTGAAGGGTTTTGCAATTTGGTGTGGCTTCCTAGTGGTATACTGGGATGGCGTCGTTAGGAATCCATGTGTTGTCCAACCTGTGGATATTATAAAAAAATAGTATAAAAATATTATTAAAAATTGCAGAATTAGCAGAAATTATCATTTAGATGGAAGGACCTTAAAGCTCATTCATCCCCATGGGCAGGGGCACCTTCTACTATTCCAAGTTGCTCCAAGCCCTGTCCAGCCTGGCCTTGGACACTTCAGGGTTTGGGGCAGCCACAGCTTCTCTGAGCAACCTGTGCCAGACCCTCACAGGGAGGAATTTCTCCCTTAAATTATATAAATTATATTAGCTCCCATTTATAGATAATGTCTTTTATAGATAATGCCTTTTGTAGATTATACCATCATTGTCCCATGACCCAACAGCACAATGTGGGAAAATCAATATTTCTGTTGGAAAGGTATCAGTAAGGTTGATGGGTAATTTATTCGGTGCTTTTCCTGTTCTTCCTCTACTTATCCATGGGAAAATGGCTTTTCTGTTGGGAATTTACCTTTCCCCACCCCCTCAGACTCAAAGCAACCTCATTACTTTCCATTGCTTATAATTTTATCTCAGTTAAAGGTGATTTCAGTCATTGCTGTTCTAAATCCCAGGTTTTAGAGGGATTTCCCTGATGAATAGCAAGGGAGTATTTGGGGATTTTTGCAGTTAATTCCCATACATGATGAATTCTTGGGGAAGCAGAGGAACATGTTTCACACTTCAGCTTCTGCTCACAAAGTCCTGTCATTTCTCAGCTTCACTGTAAATATTTTCTCTCCATGCTCGGGAGGTTTGGGTTCCCATTGTTTCAAACAGCCAGTTCAGAATATTTCTTTGCTTTTGTGTTTTTTTAGTGTTTTATTCTTATTTTTAAACAACTTGGCTCACAAGGAGTCAGCAGGGGGTTGGACCAGATGATCTTTAAAGGTCCCTTCAAACCCCAACCACTCTGTGGTCCTCTGAAATTTGGGTTACTGGTCTCAGCTGAGACCATTCCTGTGCTGCTGCATGGGCCACAAACACATCCATTGTCCACTTGGAAAATAAAATGGCAATGGGGATTTTCTCTGATTAAATAATCCCTGAATTTCACTAATTTTCTTTCTTTTTCCCCCCTTTGTAGGTCCAAGTTCAGTGAAAAACAAGAAAAAGGGTAAGTTTGAGTTTTAACTGAATTTTCTTTTCTGTGCTTTGTGAATTCTCTTCAGCCAACAGGAAGGAGAAACCAATGGCAGCTTCCCTCTCCAGGAAAGACTGGAATAACACCCACAAGCACCCCTTAAAACTTCCTTAAACACTGAAAAAAGTTAATCATGTTGTGCAGAAGTAATCCTGAAGATTCTCCAGTTGAAAAGCTGAGTCAGTACCACATACCAGGAGCTGTTGCTGTTTGCCAGCCTTGGCTTTCATCCCAATCCTTCCAACTTGCAGCTTGGATTCTCCTTCAGACCCACCAAACTCAGCATGAACACACTTTGCATTCCACTTTTCCTTGTTTTAACCTCCAAATTATCATTTTGTGAGCCCCTTCTGGGTGTTGCTCAGCCCTCAAGGTTTTGTGGATTTCGTGATGTTCCTCAGGTAGTTTGCAGTGGTTTGTTGGGATTTGGGTTATTCAGGCAGCCCTGTCTGGGGGGTTCCTGATGCCATCCTTGTTTCTGTAGGACTGCTGGGAACACTAATGGTCCCACACACAGGGTCCCACATTTACTTCCTAGAGTTTAAGTGAGTCCAGGAATCCGAGCAGTCGCATTTTCCATGTCTGCACTACTGCAGCAGCACGTCAAATGGCTTTAATCTTTGGATGCAAACTCCAGAGCCACAGCTGAGAGGTGGGAACAGGCCACACTTAGCAATTTTATTTGTATTTACTCCGAGAAGCAGCGTAAAATTTTATGTTGGAGAAGTTTGTCCTAACAAAGCTCAACGCACATCCAATCAGCCCAACAAATAACAACTGATGGCTGCAGCCTCCGGAGCAATTCCAGAGGGGCAGGGGGATCTTGTGGAGCTGGATTGCATACAGCTGTATAAAATAGCTTAATTTTATGGTATTGTCACATTTAATTCTTTTTAGAGTTCCAGTTCATTGTTTGATGAGTGAGGATTATGGAGAACTCCCTGCTTCTGCCTGCTCTGAGTTTCGGAGCCCGTGGGTACGGACATGGGAGACTTGGCAGGCTGGGATTTGGGTGCTGGGACCCTCCTTGGAGACCTGACAGGGGAGCTATCAGATAATAAATGGAATATCTTTTGTCTTGTGAGGTTTGTTAATGCAGAGAAGTGGTTGAAATTCCTTGAAGGAGGGAAAGGCACAGAAATGTGTGGCTGAGATGAGTGATTGTCTCACTGCTCAAGCAGCAGCTCCCTGAGTAGCAGAGCAGATTTTGGAGGCAGATGAGTTAAACCAGCTGTGATGTGCATCCCTCTTGGGAAGGGAAGCCTGGAGTGACAGCAGCAGCATTCCCAACTCCCTGTCTGCAATCCTCCCTTGGGATGGCCTGGATTGGAGGGATGTCAGTGAGAGGAGTTTGTTGTTGGGAAAACAGGAGTGGTTCAAGGTGATCTGGGAAGGGAAGCCTGGAGTGACAGCATTCCCAACTCCCTGTCTACAATCCTCCCTTGGGATGGCCTGGATTGGAGAGATGTCAGTGAGAGGAGTTTGTTGCTGGGAAAACAGGAGTGGTTCAAGGTGATCATTTCCAAAGCAGGGCATCATCCTGAGGAGCAGTACTGGATTAGAGGAGGTCTGGATTGTGGCCAGCTCAGGTAGGAAGTCATGGCTGCTGATTTGGAGAGAAATATTGCTGTGGAGATTTGTTCCCTGAAGCCTTTTCCCACTTTTTGTAGGATGCCAGTGTGGCTTTACTCACCCCTGCTTACTTTAACTTCAGTTTCTACACATTTAAATTATGCCCACAGTTGTCCCACCCTGATGTCCTTGTGCCCTTGCTCCTGGCTAGTGGCCATCCAGAGATTCCCAATCCTGTGCTAAAACAGATGGATTTTTCCTCACACTTCTGTCCATTACAAGGATGGATATTAGTAGAGAAACAAGTACATAAATGTACTCAGAAACTATTCCAACAGCTATAATTTCATATCCCAACTGCTGCTGTCATCTAAATACGAGTTTAATTCTGTCCTACTGGGGACCTTGTGGCAGTAATTGAAGAGATTTTGCTCTGTTTATGTTCCTTGGCAGAAAAGCTGTTCCAAAGAGGCATTTAAAAAACTACATCAAAAGAACATCATTTTTGTCAGGAACATGGAAAATCAGGAGAGCGGGAACCAGACTTTCCCTGCAGAGTTTTTTTCATCCCACTCTCTGTGTGTAGGAGTCATTCCTGATGTGGTTATGTCATTGCTCCTCCTTGGGACTTGTGAAGTGTTTGAGGATCATGGTAGGGAAGAAGGTTTTTACCACGAGGCTGGTAAAATACTGGGACAGGTTGTCCAGGGAAACTGTGGCTGCCTCATCCCTGGAAGTGTCCAAGGCCAGTCTGGACAGGGCTTGGAGCAACCTCAGATGGTGGAAGGTGTCCCTGCCCATGGCAGGGGTGTGGGACTGGATGGGCTTTAAGGTCCTTTCCAACCCAAACCAGTCTGGGATCTGTGATTGTAACAATTCCCCAGTGTTTCCATCCCCTGGATGGGGTTAGTCCTTCCCAAGGCCCTCTCTCCATCCAAAGCCCAAAATATTGAATTATTTTGAGGCACAAGCAGCACAGGGGCTCCTCCAGCAACACTGGGGAAGAGCTGGAGCTCAGCTCTGAACTGCCCTCTGGAGGAGACCAGGCCATGGGGATCACCTCCCAATCCTAATGTGCAGCAGGTAGGAAAGATTATCCCTGTTTTCCATGGAAACGGAGTAACTGCAGAGTGGTTCATGTGGACCAGAACAGCCCAGCCATGGCTGGGTGCATTGGAACGTGCTGTGGGAGCATCCTGACTGCATCCAGAGACCATCCCGGGTCCGTAGGGATGTGACCAGCCTCAGGGCATGGGACTTGAGGACTGACCCCATGCCAAGAGCAGAGTGACCAGAGCTGTGGGAAGAGCCCCCTGAGCCTCCATCCCCTGAGGGGCCCCAGAGAGTCCCCGTGCCTCATTTCAGTGTAATTCCCAACAGGAAGGAGCCTGTAGAGTGGTGACCTGTCCTGCCCTGCTGGCAGCATTGTCCTCGTGGTGTGGAGCTGTAGGACACCCACCCAGCTATCCTGGGCCAGGAGTGATCCGTCCCCAACCTCCCATTTCCTGCAGTTCCAAGCCCACCCCACAGCCCCGGTGACGCCTGTCCTTGTGTTTTCCAGGTAAAAAGGCTGGTCCTCCAGGGCCCAACGGTCCCCAAGGGCCACCAGGGCCTCCCGGGCCACAGGGTCCCCCCGGCATTCCCGGCATCCCCGGGATTCCAGGCACCACCGTCATGGGCCCGCCCGGCCCCCCTGGCCCACCGGGCCCTCAGGGACCACCCGGCGTGCAGGGCCCCTCAGGTAAGGATCCATCCGTGCCCTCTGCTCCGGCTGGACGGGCGGGAATGCCGGAGGTGTCACCAGAGATGTCACCGGAGTGCCCCAGTGCGATGGCACAAGGGCCTGGAGCAGGACTGGGGTGCCCTGGGCCGTGTGGGACAGGGCTTGGAGCAACCTGTGGAAGGAGTCCCTGCCGTGGCAGGAGTGTTGCTCGATGGGCTTTAAGGTTCCTTCCGGCCCAAACCATGCTGAGTTTTTGGGATTCCATGGCTGTGGATGGCCAGGAGCAGCGGGAGTCCCTCAGCTCAGTGCTGTGCTGCCACGGGCATCTCCTCCCTAATTAGGATTTGGCTCCCAGGGAAGGGAGTGGAATGGATGACCTGCAGAGGGAAACTTGGCATCTTGGCAGCCAAGAGGTTTTATTCCTGCTGTGGATCAGGGAATGGGTTGTGCAATTTTTCCTTCTAGTGGAAAATTGTTGAATAATAAAGAATTTTGATGGCTGGACAGAAATTCCAGGAATAAACTAGGGAAATATAGGATAGGTCTTTTTCTTCCTTATATGTTTTAAATTTTTTTTTTATATTTAATATTTCTGTTTTATATATTTTAATATTACCTGCACCCCATATCCCTCCTCCTGTTAAAGCAAATGTTTTCATAGTTATTATGGAGTAAAAAAAGAAATTTATATGGGGCTTCAGGGTTATTTTGGAGTGAAAAGAGTTATTTATAAGAGGGTTTAAGGGTTATTTTGGGATAAAAGAAGTTTTATTTTTGGGATTTTTCACTCAACCTTCCTCTTCAATGATTTGGAATTGCCTTTTGCAGGTGCCACAGACAAGGCCAGTTCCAGAGACATCCAGGTGGGTTGATCTTTCCATGGAAAACCCCACCTTTGGGGGGCATTTTTGTGGACTGGCACGGTACTTCCCGTTAATCCTCCATCCCTGTGCTCTCCCTTGCAGCCAGCTGTGGTCCATCTCCAAGGCCAAGGCTCAGCAATCCAAGTGAAGAATGGTAAGGATCTCTTGATAATTGTGGGTACTGGGAAGAGCCCCTCCTGCACCCCTAGAGTTCCTGGATCCCAGTTCATCCCATGACACAGCTCCAGGATGATCCCTGCCCACCTCAGCCCTCCAGTACCCCTGCCCAGACCCCCAAGAAGAGTCTTGTGTGGAATCTCCACCTCCATTTCCCCAGAGCTCCTGTTTATCTCCCAGATTATCCCTGCCCTGCACACCCCAGTAGCTCTGTCCCACTGGATCTCCTTCTCCCTGACCTCCAGGCACATCTTGTGCCTCCTCAGCCCCTCCATGACCAGGTCTTTTTTATCCCCCATTCTATTTTAAGCCCTCAGTGAATCCTTGTCCTGTCTCTTCCCCCCTTGCCCATTTTCCTCCAGTTTCCCAGGAATTTAAGGCAGGGAAGACCCAGTGGTGAGAGGACACAGAGGTGTTGTCCAGCCACCAGCTCTTCCCTGAGCACCTCTGTCCCCACCAACAGCCTTTAATTCCAGATCCTGCTGAGCCACTTCCCATCCACAGGCAGCTCCTTGCTCTCCCTCCTCCTTCCCAGATCCCCATCCAAATTCTCCTCAAGTTCCTGCTCTCCCTGCCAGCAGCTGGGGCTCATTCATCACCTCCTGCCTCCCTGTTCTGGCTGTGCTGGAGAGGAGCTGGCTTGTCCCCTCCCTGAGTCCCCACGTGCAGCTCCCCAGGGACCACATCCATCCATCCTTAGCCCAATCCCAGACTGGGAGGGACTCCCGAGGGTGGAGGCAGCAGGAAGGGGCTGCAGGATCCCTGTCCATGAATTCCTGCCTCACTCGTGGGATGGGGAGGGCTGGCCACTGCTTCTGTGGGAAGACAGCTTTCCCTGTGAGCAGTGGCAGCTGGAATTTCTCATGGATAGGGATTTGTGCTTGCAGCTCCCCAAAATGAAAAGGAAACCGCCCGCTCCCAGGAACAATGTGAGGGAAAAGCTGCTGTTTGCTTACGTTCAGAAAGCAATTATCCCTTCATTACTGGGGATGCTGAGGGTTTCCAGAGGGAGCTGCTCTCTAAGAGCGGGAATGCCCTGTGAGTGTCCTTCCCTGCTGCTCAGGAACAATCCAGAGCTGGGAGCCAGGAATGCTGTCCAGCTGCCAGCCTGGCGAGCTCCAGCTGATGCACAGAATATTCTTAGTTGGAAGGGACCCACAAGGATCGTCGAGTCCAGCTCTTAAGTAAAAGGCCCATCCAGCAGGGAGAGGAGGGGCAGATGGAGACTGGGAGGAAAAGAGTGGGATTTGACAAACTGAAGCACCCACAGAGAGTGGCTCAGTGTGGGACTCACAGCAAAGTCTGTCCCTAGGTTATCCCAGTAATCCCAAAGGACTGGGTGGTGGATCCATAAATCCCTATATTGAGGGACCCCAGTTAGGGTTTACTGTGTTGTGAGATATGATGGAATTTCCCACTTTGTTGTTATTCTGGCTTTTAAAAAGTTTAGGAGTTGTAAAGGCAAATGTTTTGTTATAATTATCCCAGTTACAAAGTCAGGAATGGTGAAGTTAAGGAACACCAGAACTAAAATCAATAATGTGACCCAAAGCTTGGCCTCCATTTGCCTGGAGAAGACAAAGCTCCAGGGTGCCCCTTCCAGTGCCTAAAGGGACTTCAAGAGAGCTGGAGAGGGATTTTGGACAAGGGCCTGGAGTGACAGGACAAGATGGAATGGCTTTAAGCTGAAAGAAGATAGATTTAGATGGGAGATTGGGAAGAAGTCCTTCCCTGTGAGGGTGGGCAGGTCCTGGCACAGGGTGCCCAGAGAAGCTGTGGCTGCCCCTGGATCCCTGGAAGTGCCCAAGTCCAGGGTGGACAGGGCTTGGAGCAACCTGGGCTAGTGGAAGCTCTCTCCCTGCCCATGACAGGGGGTGGAATGGGATGAGATTTAAGGTCCCTTCCCACCCAAACCATTCCATGATGTTTCTGTGATGACCATTCCCATGGACACAGTCGGGAACAGGGATCAAACAAGATCAGCTGCAGGGTCAGCCCTAGGAGCACAACAGGCTCTGCACTGGGTTTTGAGGGGGGGAACACAGAGGGTTGGAGGGACAGGCGACCCCATGGTGTGCCCAGAGCTAGAGAGGAGTCCCTGCTCCCACTCCCTGGTGTGTAAGAACACAGAGGGTTGGAGGGACAGGTGTGCCCAGAGCTAGAGAGGAGTCCCTGCTCCCACTCCCTGGTGTGTAATCCTGGGATCCCCCTGTGGATTCCCTGCTCCCTGTCGTGCTGTGACTGTGTTTGTGTTGCTCCTGCGCTTTTCCTCCTGACGGGTACTGAGTGACCGCCGTTTTCTCATACTGAGATCTTTCAGGTGGAGTCCTCAATGACTGGTCTCGCATCACTCTGAACCCCAAGGTGTTTAAGCTGCATGCCCGCAGTGGGGAGCTGGAGGTACTGGTGGACGGCACATACTTCATCTATAGTCAGGTAGAAGTGAGTACGGTCCTAGGCTAACTCCTCCTATTCTTGTGTTCCGGTGGAAGCCTTGCATGAACCACGAGAGGGCTCCAGACAACAGCCAAATGCCAGCAGCTGGTGTGGAGCTGTAACCGCTGCGGCTCAGGAGGGGTGTGGGGAGGAGTGTCACACCCCTGTCACCGCCAGGACACCGCCCGCCAGGCATTAGTCACTGAAAGCACACCCCACACCCGCCAGTCCCGCGCTTATCCCTCCATTTATCCATGTCCCGACCCTTCCAAACCTCCCTGCAGGCAGGATGCTGAGCTCAGTGCTTTAAAAGACCCATACTCTGGTTGTTTGTGGTTATTTTGGAGCTGTGTCACTCTGGAAGCACAGGACTCCCAGCCCAGGTGGTTTGGCCAGATTCCAGCCCAGGTGACTCCTTTTGCCTCCCCCTGCTCCATGTAGCTCCTCCCCAGAGCCAGCTCTGGGATGAAGTGGACCATGGATGTCAGGTGCTCTTCCATGGAATTGGTGACACCAATTGGTGTCCAGTTTGGATGGGGACTGAAAATATAACTCCACATGGGTCAAAGTATAATTGTTTCCCAAGTGCTTGATGCTGATTGCTGGCCATAGTGTTGGACCAGTGAAGCCTCATCATTTGTGGTCCATCAAGGAAAAAAAAGAGATTCAGTGTTCAGGCAGCTCCTGCCGCCAAAAGGGCTGGATTTCCTTTCTCAGGAAGAAGCAGCTCCCTGAGACTGACTTCTCCTTGGACAGGTCTTCCTCCACAGCTCTTTGGAATCAGAGTGTAGGAGGAGAGGGTTAAGTAAGGACGAGTAGAGTCACAGGGCCTTGGAAGAAGTCAGGGAGTTCAATCAGTAGAAGCACTGTGAGGTGATTTCCTTCCAAGCTGTGGAGGTTGGGAGGCTTTTCCCTGTAATAGCTCGTGCCTGTGCAAGCACCGAGTCCAGTTACCCAGGAGGCAGCTCCCAGGCCACCTTAGGGCAGTTCTGATGTCACCACTAAAGGAGGCTCCTGGCACCAGGAAGCAGGACTGGCCAGGTAAGTGCAAGAGGCCTTCAGTGGAATGTGTGTGTCTGTGTGTGGGGTGAGGAGCTGTTGTAGCACGCAGGGGGTCCTGCATGGCTCTGTGCAGGTGTGCCACTTCCCTGGAATAAGCAGGATGATAGCTCAGCCTTAGGCACGTGGATTCAGGGGTTTTTGCATGCTTGGGTCAGTCTGAAGCGGAATAAAGGAGGTTCCTGGTTGGTTTGGGGCTCTCCCTGCCTCGCACAAGTCACCTGTGAGTGCAGGTGCTGGGGCCAGCAGGGGCTGCACACACCCCCAGGACGCTGCACTTGCTCCCCACACCCCAACCCCCTCCCTGACCCCTTTCTTCTCCCTGCTTCACACCAGGTCTACTACATCAACTTCACCGATTTTGCCAGCTACGAGGTGGTGGTGGACGAGAAGCCCTTTCTGCAATGCACTCGGAGCATCGAGACCGGCAAGACCAACTTCAACACCTGCTACACGGCCGGGGTGTGCCTGCTCAAGGCCAGGCAGAAGATCGCCGTGAAGATGGTCCACGCTGACATCTCCATCAACATGAGCAAGCACACGACTTTCTTTGGGGCCATCCGCCTGGGAGATGCTCCCGCATCCTAGAGAGGAACTTGGCGTGGCCAAGGACACCCACGGAACTGCCCAGTGCTGCTGTTCATAAAGCGTATCAGTATTTCAGGGGTTCTGTAATCCGGCCATAAAGGAAACTGATCCAGAGCTATTTATTCCTATATGTGAATGCAGGAAGCACAATTGTCCTCTGTGACTCGCGGGGAGACTCGGATCAAACCAAAAAGCTGGTGGGGAGAGCGTTGTGAGGAGGAAAGGCTGTTGGGTGTGCCTTGTCTCAGTATTTCAAGTATTACTGCACTGATACTCTGCTCTGTGACCTTCACACGAGGCTTGCTGGGAGAGCTGGGGGCTCTGCTCGGATGTTGGCACTGGCAAGAGCATCCCAGGCGGGAGGACACGGACTCCTGTCCCAAAATCCCAGCCAGGCTCCTGCATGTGCACGCTAACGACAGCCAGGAAGGGGGTTCTGGCTTCCTGCCTTCCCAGGGGGAGCTGGAAGGGCTGGGGGGCGAGGGGAGGTGCGTGAGACAGGGTCAGTGGTGTTTACATTCATCCTCAGGAGGAGGAGGAAAAGTGCCTCGACCTAGAGCTTGGAAAAAAAAGCAGGAAGTGCGAGAGGAAGAGGAATAACTAGAGCAGGCTTAGCAGATAGGAAACTGCCTCCACATTCCAGAAACCACCAAATCCCAAAGAAAACGCCGATTCCCGGGTCCAGGCCTCTGCTCCTTTCAGCTCCTGCCCTTACCCCAGAGGTAACCTTGCCCCAGCAGGGGCTGCCTTCAAGTACTGCTGCTGTTACAGCAAGTTGAGTTGGGTTGAGGGTATTTTGGTTTTGTTTTTTTTTTTGTTTTTTTTTGGTTTGGTTTGGTTTTTTTTGGGGGCAGGGAGGTTTGTTTTGTTCTTTTTAATTAATATTTTGCAAACCAGAACACATTTCTACAGGCTTCACCGAGCCACGTAGAGCAGCCACAAGTACTTGTGACAACACTCGGAGGAAGTTTGTTATGTTTAAGAATAAAATATTCAAACAGGAATTTTTTTTTCTGTTTTTATAGCAACTGCCCTGCTTTTAGATGTGGTTTTTAGCTTTCCTCCCCCCCACCCCTTTCCTTTTGGCACCCTTCTACCTAAAATAAGTGGTGATGGAGACTTTAGCAAAGGAAAAAAAATGGGATTTTAAAATCCGGTCCAGCATGAAGTCACCACTTTTTCTTTTCTCTGAGCCCTGCTGAGTCTAGTCATAACTTGATTTCTGGTGACTAATAGAGGAGCTGGGACACTATTGTTTCTTTTGGCTTCTTGAGCAACTCTGTCCCGTTACCTCCCCTCAGCTGGGGAGACCTAAAGCCATAAGATGCTCTGAGCCATAAGAGGCACAAATTGCTCTGTTGTCTCAGCCCTTGGCTCACACTTGTTCAGCTTGGTTGGGGTTCTGTTTCTTTCCAGCCTGTTTGTGCTTTCAGGAGGGGAGCGAAGTAGCAGCTTGTGTAGAAATGGGACAAATCCTGAAGTGACATCTTCAGCTTGGAGCAGGGAAGGTTTTGGGGACCTCAGTGCCTCAGGGGGCTCCAGGACAACTGGAGAGGGGCTTAGGACAAGGGCCTGGAGTGGCAGGACAAGGGGGAATGTCTCCCCACTGCCAGAGGGCAGGGATAGATGGGATATTGGGAAGGAATCCTTCCCTGTGATGGTGCTGAGGTGCTGGCACAGGGTGCTCAGAGAAGCTGTGACTGCCCCTGGATCCCTGGAAGTGTCCAAGGCCAGGTTGGATGGGACTTGGAGCAATCTGGACTAGTGGAAGCTGTCCCTGTCCATGGCAGGGTGTGGAACTGCTTGTTCCATAAGATCCCTCCCAGCCCAGTCCTGTGATTCCGTGGTCTTGGTGCTGGCTCCACGCAGAGGTGGCTCGTGGTCACCTGCAGGGTGTGGGAGGGACGTGTCCCAGCGCTGTGCTGTGGCCTCGGAGGGTCCGCCCTGCCTGGAGCATTCCTGGCTCCAGCCCTAGCGAGTGATGTCCCTTGCCAAGTGTTGCAGTTATTGGGAGACAAAAATTCCTCGGGGCAGCGGCGTTGGCCGCGGCCTCGCTATTCACAGGAGCCGTGCACTTCGGGAAACAACTGCGTGACAAATGGGCTGCTCTGGCTTTTTAGTGGCTTCTCCTCCCTTCAGCCTCGACATGTGGGATGGGCAAGAGCCTTGGGGGCTCTTCACTGGGCTTTGTGGTTTTCTTTCCTTTCAAATGGATTAAGAGGGACATGTTCCTGTGACAAGAATGAAGCGGGACAACTGTGTACAGTGAGAACATGAAGCAAATCGTTAACAGGATTGCTTTAGAACAGGCCTGAGCAGCAAGGCTGGGGGCAGCCATAAATAACGGGGGGGTTGGGAGAACCCAGGATGGAGTTTGCATTCCTTGTCCCCCGCTGGCAGGATCTGGGATGTGCTCCATGGCTGTGGGCAGGGGGAGGCAGAGGGAGAATCCCTTTGCTCTGTAAAAGGCCAGAGTGTTGCTGTCCCCTGTGGTGTGTGCTCGGGATGTTGGAGGAGAGCAGGAGACAGCAATTCCTGCATGGAAGTTCTTCCTGGTGTGTGCTTGGGGTGCGGGAGGAGGGCAGGAGGGAGCAATTCCTTCATGGAATGTGTTAACAGGCTTTTTCTGGTGCTCATACTAACCAAAGTGTGGGTTGGAGATGTGGAATTGGAGCTGGCTGCAGGTGGCCTTGGCAAACTCAGCTTTTTCCTGCTCTCAGTGTTCCTGGTGGGATGTCCCTCTCCAGCCACACCAGGAGCTCCCGTGGAAGGTCTGTACAGCCACAGCAGAGTGTTGGCTGTGCTTTGTGAGGGGACAGCTTGGTCCTTCAGGGATGGGAGAGGCAGTGTCCCCTTGCTGGGATCAGAGCTGCTCAGGAGTCACCTTCCCAATGCCCTGGGAATGCAGGGAAGGAAGGGCAGATCCAATGGACTTGGATAACCAGGTATCCTGCTCCCAAACAGCCAGGCTGGAGCCCATCACCCACAGCAGGGATGTGACCTGGGCAGGTGGTTCTGTCCCTGCTCCCTCCGCACCTCAGTCCTGCTGCTCGTTCCTCACATCCTTTGGAGACTGCTCCCACAAAAGCCTCGGGAGGAGAAGGGAATCTCCAACAGATCTGCTGGAGCCAGCATGGAGGGCAGGAAGGCCAAGAAGCACAGGGTGGCTGGTTTCAGAGCAGACCTCTCTGCACAGGCCGTGTGGTTCACTCTGCCTTTATCACAATCCAAGAGAAGCCTCTCGGTGCTTGCCGGGTCTGATCCACACCCGGCGCTCCCACAAAGGGAGTTCACAGCCTTGGGATGCAAATGCCCTGGGATTCTCTGCAGAAGTCCCTGATCCAAATCAGGGACTTTTCAGCTGCTGACAGGGGCTGTGTCACCGTGCAGAGTCATGTCCAGCAGTTGGGGTGCAGGGGACAGGCCGGGCTTCCCTGGGTGTGGCAGGGCTGGATGTGCCGGTTCTGTTTTTGGGAGGGCCCGGGGGTCATCCAGAGGTCGGTGTTTCCCTGGCAGGAGCTCACATCTGCACAGATGTGCTCTGTGCTCGCTGCTGCCTCCAGCCCCGGCACCGCGGGGCATCAGCCCAAAACGCTGTCCCTGGCCTGTCACCGCTGTCCTGCCTGACCTGGATGCTGGGGACAGCCAGCTCAAGGCTGAGTCACATCCTGAGGTGACAAAGTGTCCCCCACCACGCCGACTGTCAGAGGGTGAGGGGTAACTCAGTTGTGTAACTCTCTCTGTGTGTATACATATATAAATAATCTATATTTATTTATTTATGTATTTTATGTCTATATATATATTTTTTTTCCTGCCAGACACATCCAGGATTACAGCATGAGCTCTGTGGCTGAAACTTCACATCCTTGGACAGCCTTTCAGTAGCCTGAGTTGCTCCTTCACATGCAATTAGCCACTCTGAGGCAAAAAAAACCCCAAACTGTGCTTTTTGGAGAGTGCCCCGTGAAGCGTGAGGGGCGTGCCCCCAAGGAGTGTGTCAGCACTAGGTGGCACAAGGACACGGAGATACCATCACCAAAAAAAATGTCCCTGTGGGTGGGGCACAGCTCCGGGCGCACAGATCCCACCTGGCGCTGCCGCAGGGACAGTTCCCTTCTTGTTCCTGCCCTGCGCGAGGAGCTGACCCGGCAGCCCAGGTGGGGACACCGGGTGTGACAGCGGGGAGCCCGCACGCCGCAGAGCCCTGGGGAGGGAGAGGAGGAGGAGGAGGGGGATTCCAGCTCCGCACATCCCCTGGGAAGGGGCGGTGAGCCCTGGGAAGCTGTTGTTTCCTGACAGAGGCAGAGTCCCCCCGGCTGGGCTGTCTTGGGATGGGGAGGGACTGTCACTGGGTGTGACAGTCAGGTGATGCCACAGCCAGGAGCTGTCCCTGGCTCAGGATGGCTGCAGAGCCCTAGCCAGCTGTCCCTGGTGTCCCGGGAGCTGGCAGATCCTGTCCCTGGCACAGGGAAACTCTCCCAAACCCTCTCAGCTTTCCTACGTGCCCCCTCTGCCTCCTGGCATTTGATGTCACAGCGGTCACCTGAGCTCCCTCCTCCCCATCCTGCCGTTTCTCTTTCCCTTCCCTATGGCTTTGTGCCGTTTTTCCCCCTCTGCGAGCTGATGTCTGTCTTTTCCCACTTCCGTGCTACAAACACCCACATGCCTTATCTCCTTCCCCCATCCCATCCTGAAGCCTATTTATACAGAGCCTGGCTCCTGCCCAGCCTGCCAGCGACGCCGCAGGAGCGGGACGGGGCTGGCAGCGCCCGCAGCCCAACATGCTCTGGGCTGCACGGGGATGGTTCCTGCTCTGCCTGCTCCCGTCCATCCTCAGAGCCCGGGCTAGCCCCGAGACCAGGCCCAGCTCCCCGCTGTGCCAGCAGGTAAGGCTGTTTTCCAAGGAGCACCTGGGCTGGGATGGCTCCAGCAGCGTGGCTGGTGCTGCCAGCATCGCCCTGGATCTCTTCCCTGTGGCTCTCACCTCCCTCCAGCCTCCATCTCTTTAACTTTCCCAGCTTTTCCTGTTTTCCTGCCTTGGAGCTGGTTTCCTGTGAGGTGGTCCCTGGCATCCAGCTGCTCCCACATCCCTGCCGTGCCTGAGGTGCTGAGAGGATGGAGGGCAGGGATTCCAGTGAGGCAGTTGGGAGCCTGGCTGGGGATCAGCTGGTTTCTGTCTCCCCAGAAAAGAATCAGCTGCTCCCCATCCAGGTTCCTAACTCCACAGGAAACTGGAGTGAGAGGAAAGGTGGAGCATACACAGCACCCTTCCTCTGCCTAAACAGGGATGCTCTGGACCAGCTTGGCTTGGGAAGGGGGAGCAGTGCTCATTCCCACTTCTCATGCCCATCCTGGACAGCAGCTGGCTTCTAGCCCCCCGTCATTCACACATCTCCTGTCTCTCCACAGAGCCCCACGAAGGTGTCTTGCAAAGGAGTTGGCCTGCAGAAATTTCCCAAGGAGCTTGGCCAAGGAATTAAGTACCTTGAACTCTCCAACAACTTCATCCAAAACCTGTCAGGCAGCAGCATGCCAGGATTTGGGCAGCTGGAGTACCTGGATGTGTGCTTCAACCAGCTGGAATCCGTGTCAGCCGCCGCCCTGGCTGAGCTGCCTCGGCTGCGCTCGCTCCTCCTGGGATCGAACCACCTGGACCGGAATTACTTGGCTAACGGGGAAGCTTTCCATCTGCTCAGGAATATAGAGGTCCTGGACCTGTCTGTGAATAACCTTGAGAGCCACATGGCCAGCTGGTACATCAGCAACCTCACCAGCCTGAGGGTGCTGGATCTCTCCGGGAACACGATGACCAAGCTGCTGGCAGGAACCTTCCGGAACTCACCGCGGCTGCGCCAGCTCGACCTCAGCAGCAACTACATCATGGAGATCCAGGAGGGAGCTTTTGAGCCTCTGGAAGAGCTGGAGGTGCTGAACTTGGCTTTGAATTCCCTCCACTGTATCTCTGGCTTCAGCCTCACGCAGCTGCAAATTTTAAACCTCA